TGTATATATCTACATGATTGAGGTGAAGTACGGCAGGGACGCATGGCCAGAACGACAAGAGGAGAACGCGCAAGACCAATACACCGAGCTCACACAGGCCCTGAAGTCGCGCCCACGTCAAGAAGTGCAGCTGCACCCCATTGTTCTAGGAGTTGGAGGGACAATTTACAAGGACACAGCCACACTGCTGAAAGACCTGGGGGTCCCACACAAAATCTTGACATCCGCACTGCAACAGCTGCACACTCACGCGGTGAACACCCTGCATCACACCATACAGGCGCGCAGAGCCATTGAGCATGGCCCTGGAGGGCTTGGGAAGAAGCGCAGACGCGCGCCGTCAGGAGTGACATAGGGGGACTGGCCCCCTCCCCATCACTTTGGTGAGGGGGCGGCGCGGCGGCCTCGGCCCTCGCAAGCCAGCCCCCCTTCCTATATTTACGTGGGCGGACAGCCTGCGTAGTCTCTCTCTCTCTCTCTCCCACTGGCGGGACTTGTATCAGGTAAAGCAGCAGGGTATTTACTTGCTGCCTGTGGAAACTGCCCATGCAGCACCTACCAGCTGTGCACCCACCCCACTTCCTCCACCAACTAACTCCTGCCACGCACGGTAAACAACCCACACTTGCATCAGTTGCTGCGAAATTTGAGCGTGAGTGGTGTGATATATAAACAGGGCAGGTGGTGGCGTGACCGACGCCGCATGTTTGTCCAATTGATTATGTGGGCGGTCAAGGACACAGATTGCACCACTGCCAAGATGTGGCGCAAGGTCCAGTGGCAGCTGGGAGACTCTGGCTTGCTGGGCCTGCATCCAATAATCCCTGTCCCCTGTCCCCTTTCCCCTGCCCCTCGCGCTCTGGCCTTGCCCCATTGCCCCTGCCCACTGCTCCCTGCCCCCTTGCGAAAGAGACGTCATAAAGGCTGTGTTTTTAGCCCAGGTGATGATTGACCCCAACACACATGACCTCATCACGACCACCGTGCAATCCAGATTCTGAGTGCCGACAAGGACGCGAGATGGGCAGGGTGGTAAGCTTGGGATGAGAGCGCAAGTGCAGTGGGCAACACCACCAGCGCAGCGCCACATCGCACCCACCTACGCCGCCCACACAGAGTGCCGGTAGTGCCGCCTCCCGCCTGATGGCGCCACCGCGCAAAGATCGCGAGATCCAGCCTGGACTGCCAGGACCTCGCACTTGCGGCAGCAGGCATCCATCTGGCCATTTAAATGCAGGTGGTGCTGATGAGCAACAAATAGTTGACCCGTCGCTCAGGGCGCCCTGCATTTAATGAAAGACCTCTGGCCAGCGACCGGCCAACTCTAAAGCAATCTCCTTCGCCGTTGGACAGTGAGCGCCTGCCCCTACGCTGCGTATTCCCTTGCTGAACGGCAGGCGCGGCTGCGGCCGGCGCGGTAGACGTTGCGCCGCGGCACCCTTGCCCTCGTGCCATCTCCACATCTCCAGCACACCCGATTGGCAACACCAGGGGCCGGCTGCGCCGCAGCCCCTGCACGCAGCCCCCGCATGGCCTTTGACCAGCATCCCTGACCAGCGGGCTCCCTCGCTCACCTCAACCGCGCCCATCAACGTGTAGCCACTCATATCCCAAACAACACGAATGAAGTTAGTGCAGCATCGCCCCGGCCCTCCTCGTCCCCTGCATTCGCCCCCTCACGCCCTTGCTGGACGCAAACGCGCCGCCAGCCTCGAAATCTCGCAAGGCTCCGAGGTTCGATCTGGGTTCTAATCGGCCATCACTGTGATCCCTCCAGCAGGCCAATCTGCAAGCATTCCAACGTGATTTGCCTGCGGCTGCGCCTGCTGCCCATCCGGCGAATGGGCGGCAAGCCTCACAGTGACCCCTGCCTGCATCCAGGTGTTCAGTTCATAATTTTTGACAGCGTTTGATGTTCTTGTTGCCGTCAAATGCCGGGCAAGCCGCCGGAAACGCCATCGCCACTGCTCGCCTCAATCTGAACTGTATGCGGGGCATCCTTGGGGGACCCCCGGGCTCCGCTTGCATGCGGCCGGGCGCTGACGCAAACGCTCAGCGCACGCCATGCCGACTCATCCTGGGCGTGCTGTGCACATGCAAAACCTGCAGCCCGGCGTTTGTCCACAGATTTGGGCGTTCAACACCCTTGGGAACTTGATGCTGCTTGTTTGCTCAACTTGTATGCTAAAAGCATCATGCAAGCGAATGCAAACCAACGCCGCTGGGCGTCCCTGTTTGTGGACTAAGCTCTCGCGCTCGCCCGCCGCCCGGCAGGGCCACCGACTACGCAGCGGCGCCATTGCCCCGGCCGCGGCGCAGCCAATCCACGATGCCCGATGCTGCCAGCCTTCGCCTCGCGACCGACCCGCCGCGTTTGTCTGAGCAGCACACGGGAGCGGTGCGCACGGCAGAGCTCATCGCGGAAATCGTTACACGGGTTTCTGCAGGGCCCGGGCCTCCCCTCGACCCCCCTCCGCGCCCCCGCCACGGCCCCGCGCTCACGCGCCCGCGGCCATCGCCTCGGCCGCCGCGTCAACCGCCGCCAGCAGGCTGCTCGCCTCGACCTCAAAGCCCTTCCCCATGGTGCTGCAGATCGCAACCTTGGACACGTACTGCGCGAGGCCGCCCTTGATGGCATCCGGCTTGGCTTTGAGCAGGGCGGTGGTGAGGGCGCCCATATTGGCATACAGCTGGGCGGGGCCCATGCTGACCTGGCGTTTGCGGGGGTGGGGGGGGGGCGAGGCAGCCGTGCGGGTCCCGTGGGATGGGGTCGCTTTGTTGACAACAAATTATACTCATCGAACAGTGATCGGACAGGCTTGTGAATTTGTATAGTTGCTCCAGTGGGGAGGCAGGGACGTAGGTCGGGAGGGGAAAACGTGTGTGAGCAAGCTCAAGACGACCCAACCCCATGCCGCAACGCGGCGGCCACGACCGGCAGCTTTGCCCGCGTGCGAGTGCATGCACAAACGCGCGTCGCCGCCGCCGCCGCCGCCGTCGCCGCACCTTGCCGATGGGCGCGTGGATGATGGCTGTGCGGTCGACACGGAACTCGATGCGCCCCCGCCGCATGTCCCTGACCGCGGCCGCCACGTCAGGCGTCAGGGTGCCGACCTGCGGCGTTTGGGTGGTGAGGGGAGGGGGAGGGAAGGGAGAGACAGGGGTCACAAGGGTTGAGGGGAGCGGAGGCGGCGGCGTCAGCCTGCCGACCTGCAGCAATTTGGGGGGCCCTGCTGAAGAGCGAGAGGTCTGCTGGTCTGATGCGCGCGGAAGGGGTGGGGCAGACAGAGGGCACGCGCGGGGACCGGCGGGGGGAGATGGGAGAGGAGGTGCGGTACAGCGTGACACGGCCGCGATGGATCGGGGTTCGGTCAGAACGGGTGGGTCCTAAACCCTGAATCCTTGCCAAGGCCGTGTGCTAGCTAGGATGCGGCGCAGGCGAGGGGGAGCGGTGATGACTCATGCCCCCAGGGAGAGCCCTCATGAAGGGTGGTCGCACGAGTGACGGCCGGCCCGCACCTTGGGGTTTGGCATGAGGCCCTTGGGCCCCAGGATCTTGCCCAGCCTGACCAGCGATCTCATCATGCTGGGGTGCGCCACGGCCCGCGTGAAGTCGATGCTCTTGCCCTTGGAGTCAAGCAGAGCCTCAACCAGCTCGTCGCCTGGGGCCAGATCAGGGTGAGATCAGGGTCAGATCATGGTCAGATCAGGGTGATGGGGTGTAAAGGGAGTTTTGGCGGAATGCGAGAGCGGGGGCGTGGGGGCGCGCCACGGGTGATGGGGAGGGCTTGGCGGCAAGGTGCTGGGTTCCTTGCGACCTCTCCAAAATTTGGCAGCAGGGGCAAGGCTGCCTTTGCCCCCAGGGTCGCTGCGGCGGAGTCCCCAGCGCAGCAAAGGAAGCACCCGAGCCGCAGCGGGGCGCCACGAGTGGCGGGCGCGCGGGGTGCGCGGCGGCTCACCGCCCACAATGTCTGCCCCCGCCGCGCGCGCCTCGTCGGCGGCCTCGCCCTCCGCGAAGACGGCGACGCGCACGGGCTTGCCGGCGCTGTGGGGCAGGACGGCGGCGCCGCGCACCATCTGGTCGCCTCTGCGGGGATCGACCTGTTTTGACACGTCCAAGGGCGTGGATTGCGGTCCGTAATCGTTATTGCTGCAATGTGGTGATGACGGGCCAGCGGGCAATGGAACCCCGGTGGCCGAGGCCGCACGCGGCACCACGGCTACTGCTGCTGAGAGGGCGGGCGACGCCGCCTGCGGCACAAGGCCGCGGCCCTGTGGCGCCGCGCGGCCCCGTGGCGCCGCGGCCACGGGACGCGGCCGCCGCAGCTGCTCAAGAAAACCGCCCCGGCCCCGCCATCCGCCCGCGAGGCAAGCGGGCCTAGCGGCTGCGACCCAGGCGCGCGTTGGCAACAGCAGGAGTGCGAGCCGCGGCCGTGCATCGGCAAGGGCACAAGGACCAGCCGCCTCCGGCGGCTGCCGGGAGCCCGGGCGGCAGCGGCGCGGCCCCCACGCGAGTGTCTAAGCGGGTCTGGGGTTGAGGGTTCAGGGTGGCGCCCAGCCCGCGCGCACCTTGAGCCGAATGTGAGCCTCCACCGTCTCATCAAACCGCGCCCGCGCGCCCGCCTGTGGCGCAACAGGGTTGGCGTTCGGCGCCGCGAGGGGGTTAGGGGGCGGCGAAGATCGGTGGACGCCGCCAGAGTGCCAGGGGGCAGAAAGCCGCCCGCGGCCGCGGCCGCCGGCGCCGCAGCCTCTTGGGGGGGTCCCTCAAGCGAGGTCGCGCGAGGGGGGTCGTCCCTGAAGGGGGGTCCGACGCCTGGGCGGATGCACGCCCCCCTCCGCCGCCCCGCCAGCTGCGCCAGGAGGGCCGGCGAGCCGCAAAGCGCCCGCTCCACGCGCGCGTGCAGCGCGCCCTCTTCCCTAGTCTATCAACCTCGGACGTGCGAGCCTGCGGGCTGCTGCCTGCCCTGGCCACACTGGCACGTAATCTGTCGCTGCGTTGCCAGGCACAAACCACACTGCACCCCGACGTCACATGCACCCTGCCTGTGCTTAGAAGTGCTTAAAAATACAAAGGCACTTGACAACATGCGCAAGCACCTGTGCAGCTATGAGTGTGCACACGCACGCACACACATCGACAAACCCCCTTGTCACATAAACACTCAACCACTCCCGCACCACCACCACCCTATCCCCTCCAAACACACACACACACACCTTCACCCGCTCCAAAGCCTCCCGCAGCGGCAGTGGCTTTGTCTGCTTTGGCTCCTTTGGCACGTGCCACTTTGGCAGGACCCGCGGCCGGCTAGGGTCCAGCCATGGGCCGTCCAACGGCGCCTGAGTAAATGTGCGAGGGGGAGCGCTGCTGCCGCCGCCCGCGCTGGCGGCGGTGTAGCTGCTGCTGCTGCTGCTACTGCTGCTGCTGCTGTCACTGATTCCCACACTATTGCTGCCACTGCTGTACCCGCTGCTTCCAGCGCCGCTGCTGCTTTCCGGCCCGCCGCTGCTGCTGGGTTGGGGGGTGGCCGCCACCTCTGCTTCAAAACGACGCAGTTCTGCTGCTGCTATCGAGGCCCCAGCTTCTGTACTCTGTACATGGTGTGGAAGTGCGGATTATTGGCATGGCTGGCTGCATGCCGCAATTGTGCTCAGCGGGTCAGCAGCGGCGCGAGCGCAAGCTCACAGTGATGCATCCGCACACCACTGTTCGGAGCCCCCTCACCAGACAGCACCGCTGCTGCAGCATCTCCAAAGGCTCCAGAACCTGATGCAGCAATGTGCTTGCAGCAGGGGGTGCCCGCTGCAAGGCGCTCGCTAGCCGCAAGATCATTTTACTTTCCGGCGCTGTTACGCCGCGAAAAAAAGTTTGTGACAATTAAAAATCTACGCGCAGTGCAATGCGCCGTGTTACAGCAGAGGATAATGATAGATCTGACGTCCGCTCCTGTACAATGCACACGTGGGTTGTGCACGCGCGGGAGTAGAGATTTACTTACGCGTTAAGTGCGCTAGGCCGAAACATGCAATCGGCTTCCGACAAAACGCCAAGCCTTGGTTGGTACCGAGGCAGCAGCTGCCCCGAAAACCGCTGCACCTTGGTACCGGCATCCGGGTGCAACCAGCGACCACACCCCGATGCGCCACCCTGTCAAGCACGTCACGCATGTGATTCAGAAAGCGTATAAATAACGGTCGTGCTCCAAGTTTCTGTGAGGGGAATGGGGGATGCGAGGCCCAACCACGAAACGAACACGCAGCGGCGCGGCAACCGTGAGAACAGTCAGGCAGTGCAATGTTCAGGGCCAGGTTGAGCCTGCGCAAAAGTTGGCACCAACAGCAGCAACAACAACAATGTGGATGAATCGAGAAATAGCGCGTAAGAATGCGTGTATCTCAATCACAGATGAGCCCTGAAATCAGTGGTTGTGTATATGTTAATGCTGCACAGCCTCAAGCCGCCTTCCCGCGCGCCTGGTTGCACCAACGGGGCAAAGACATAGCAAGGTGCGGTAGGTGTGAGGGGCAGTCTAGCTTCTATCTGCCGCTAGGCAGCATGGTGTGTAGGGGCCGCGGCTGTTTCAGCGGCTGCTAGGCATGGGGGGGTGCGTCGGTATGTCAGTGAGCGGGTGTGCTCCTGGCAAAGCCTCGGCCCTGCCGGGCCTGCAGCATTGCACAAGCCCATGGCTTAGGGAATTTTGTACAGAAAAAGCTGGACACCTTCAGTGTGCCGCCCCAAACCCACTCTAGGGCTGTGTGAAGCGCCGCCATCAGCGCCGCTGAGGGAGGCACCTCCACTCTCGGCACCGCAGGCGTGCCCCGGCCGAATGCATCGCACGCACGTTGCCTGGACATGGACACGTCACACACGCTTGCCCTGCAAACCCCCAGCTGCATCTGCATCACCACTCGCGCGCATGGCGCACCGCCCGTCGGCAGTCGGCTGCAGCAGCGCGCCAACCCCTTCGCGCCCACTGCGGCCGCACCGCCTGCGTGCGCCCCGCCGGCGCGGGGGCGAGCGCCGCCAGGCACCCCCGCGCGCCGCGGCTTTGCGGCGGCCGCGCCTCCTGTCGCGTCGCCTGTCACTCGCCCACACCTGGTGGGCGGTACGCCAGGGAGCGGTACTCGAAGGGGCTGTACATGTGACCCTTGACCCAGTGCAGCAGGGCCGCGTCGCCCTTCGCCAGCGCCTTGAGCGCCCCCTTGCGCAGCACCTGCACGTCTTCCGCGGCGGCCTTGATGACCGCGACCGCCACAGCCGCAGAGATCGCCCGAATCTCCTGCAGATCCAAGATTTTGAGGTTTTATGACTTTGGTTGCAGTGATGATTCGGGATTGGCGCTTGGTAGGCCTTGGACTGCTCGGTGGTTGCTGGATTTTGGGGATGGCTTGGTTAAGGGACATGGCAGGGTCCAACCTGCTTTATGCTTATGCCGTCACGCGTCATCAGTTCACTGCCAGCAAAAGCAGACAAACAACTCAAAGCAATGTGCAACCCCCCCACCTCACACACACATACACAAACACACACAACTCAACCTTAGCTGATGTGTTGGGGCAGGCGTTTCAGGGACCAAATCAACGCCCCTGCCCACCTTGATGCGGGGGTATGTCAGCCCCTTAGCCAGGTCCTCCTGCCGCACCAGCTTGGGGATCTGGGGAAGGGATCGTCCGCATCAACACTTGACGATCTCAGGGCAGCCCCACGGCAGTTTTGCGACATCACCGCTGCAGCCGCCCGGCCGCGGGGCCGGAACACGAGCGAGTCGCGGCACTGCAGGATTGCGCTCGGCAGGCTCGGACAGGGCATTTTACCGCGACCCGGGCCGGTCAGTTCAAACGCCTTTCAAGCCCGCCCCCACCTCCCCACCCCAGGC